CGCATTCCCCCCCCCCCCCCCCCCCCCCCCCCCCCCTCCCCAAGCCATCACCCCCACCATGGCCCGCCGCTTCCCCCGGCGCCGCCCACTCGGGCACCTGCTCGGCCTGGCCGCCCTGGCCGCCCTGGCCGCCCTGCTGCACAATGCCCGCCTGGCGGCCGGCTTCAGCTGCCCCATCCTCTTCGACCTGCGCCAGGCGGCCATCCAGTCCGGCGACCACAGCGCCCGGGCCCAATACAGCCAGGCCCTGCGCACGCTCGGCTGCTGCCGGCCCACCAGCCCCAGCACGCTGCTCCCCAGCGCCTGGACCTCGCGCTGCAGCAAGACCTCCGGCCCGGTGTGCGGCTTCGACTTCGTCACCCACGCCAGCCAGTGCGACGTGGGCATCTGCCTGGCCGGGCAGCAATCCGTCGGCCAATGCCGGGCCCCGGAAAAGCACCTGACCCAGTGCCAAAAGATCGCCGACATCAACCAGCGCCTGGTGTGCCTCAAGCAGATCCTGGCCCGCGTGGTGCAGGCCGTGGCCATCAGCGACACGCCGGTGGACCCGGCCCGGCGCCTGGCCGCCCCGTGCGTGGTCCCCGGCCAGTATGACCGGACGCGCTTCCGCACCGCCGACGGGTCCTGCAACAACCCCACCCCGGACCGGTCGTACTCCGGCATGGCCGGGCTCTACTTCATCCGCCACGACAAGACGCGCACCATGCCGGCCGACATCGACCGGGCCGTGGCCGCCGGGCCCAACCCCCGGGTCCTGTCCAATGCCCTGCTCCGGCGGTCGGTCTTCCAGCCGAACAGCGTCCAGCTCAATGGCCTGGCCATCGCCTTCCTGACCTTCTTCATCCACGACTTCTTCGAGCCGCGCGTCGACTGGTCCGAGGTCATTGCCGTGCCCATCCCGCACAATGACCCGGACTTCCCGAGCCAGGCCTGGGCCGGGGCCGGGGCCGGGGCCGGGGCCGGGGCCGAGGCATACATGTACATCCCGGCCACCGCGCGCAATGCCGACGGCACGGTCACCAACCATGCCACCGCCTGGCTGGACACCTCCCAGGTGTATGGCAGCTCCGAGGCCGTGCAGGCGTCCCTGCGCGAGTTCCAGGGCGGCCGCCTGCGCGTGGACGCGGCCACCGGCCTGCCGCCGGACGAGCCGACCAGCCAGTCCGGCGCCCGGCGCCTGGCCCCGGGGGCCCCGCCGCTGCTGCTGCTCGGCGACTCGCGCGGCAACCAGCACATCGGCCTGACGGCCTTCCATGCGCTCTTCGTGTCGGAGCACAACAACCTGGCCAAGCTCCTGGCCCAGGCCTACCCGGCCATGAGCGATGAGGAGCTCTTCCAGACCGCGCGCCTGATCCTGGCCGCCGAGGTGTTCAAGATCCAGACCGTCGAGCTGTCCTCCCAGCTGAGCACCGACCCGGCCAAGAAGATGCTGGCCGAGCAGATCTGGTCCAGCCACGGCTCGCGCAACTACAACGAGAACTTCGGCGTCCACCTGACGCCCTTCGACTTCACCAGCGCGTACGTCCTGCCGAGGGGTGTTGCTGTTGCTGTTGCGGGGGTGCGTGGGGGGGCGGGGGGGGGGGACAGTCAGAGAGCCACGCGTGTCAGTCATCTCCCGCAACACCGAGGTAGAGAGGCGGAGCGAGGGAGCGAGGCCCCCCCCCCCCACACACACACACACACGGACAATGCCGCCGACGCCGCTGGCACACCAGGTCACCCCACCGCCAGGCTCCTAACCGCACACACACACACACACACACACACACACAGATACCGGCTCCACTCCATGATGCCCGCCTCCTTCCAGCCCCTGGACATCGCCGGGTTCAAGGTCGGCGAGCGCATCGACTACTTCCACACCTACCACAACTCGCAGATCCTCCGCGACCGCGGCGTCGGGGCCATCCTCCGCGGCCTGGCCACCGAGGTCGCCGGGCACATGTCCCTCAACAACCACCCGGCCGGCATCCGCCGACTCACCCACTCGGACGTGGTCTTCCAGCAGCGCACCCCCTACCACCCCCTCGGCCCGGCCGGGCCCGCCTACCAGTACGCCCAGCAGGGCACCTGCTATGTGGCCCCCTTCATCGACCTCGGCGTGGTGGACATCGTCCGCGATCGCGAGCGCGCCGTCCCCCGCGCCAATGAGTACTACCGCCGGTGCGGCCTGCCGGAGCTGGCCGCCCCCACCTTCGCCTACATGGCCCAGGACCCGGTCACCGCCGCCCGCATGGCCGAGCTCTACGACTGGCAGATCGAGCAGGTGGACCTGGCCATCGGCATGCTGGGCATGGACTCCGCCGACTCGGACGGCGTGTCGCTGCTCAGCTCCACCGGCTTCCTGCCCTTCGTGGCCGGCCGCGCCTCCCTCGACCGGTTCTACTCCAACACCTGGCTCACCCCGGCCGTGTACACCGCCGTCGGGTACGACCGCCTCATGGGCACCGCCTCCAACCCCACCGGCGTCACCCTCACCCAGATCATGGAGGAGCTCGGCCATGTCAACCTGCCGCTCCGGCCCAACGGCGCCATCGTCCCCACCGAGCACGACATCTTCCGCGTGTGGAACTGGCCCAAGCTGCCGAAGGTCATCCTGGCCCCGGAGTAAGAGAGAGCGCGCGCGCGCGCGCGAGAGAGAGAGAGAGAGAGAGAGAGAGAGAGCGAGAGACGGTCGCCGCCGGAGGCAGGACCCTCATGCCAAGAAGGCATGCCTTTGTCTGCATGCGAGCGAGCGGATGTCCGAGAGCGAAAGAGAGAGAGAGAGAGCGTGCGACTTCCGCCGCGGGGGGAAACCAGTTCATCACTCTCCCCGAGCGGGGGCGCCGCGCAGCCCCACGCGCTCCCCTAGTTTTTTACCCCCTTTTTCCCTTCCCCCCCCCTGCCCCTGCGGCGCTTTGCCATGCGGCGCGCTCGCACGGGAGGAGACGTGTACTTCCGAAAGAAAAAACAAAGCCCCTTTTTTCGGCCCTTGTGCTCTTTCGACCACCACCCCGCCGGGGTGGTGCTGCTTCTTGCTTGTTCGCTTTTCCCCCCACCCTCACGCCTCGCGCCAGCCATGGGGAACGCGCAGCGGCCGCGGCGACTACGCCCGGCGCGGGTCGGTGAAGACCCAACGGGGGGGGGGGGGGCACATCTCGGGCGGGCGCGCCGCGGCAGGCCCGACAGAGGGCAGGGCAGCGGAGGAGAAGGGCGCGGGAGGGGGGGGGGACATGCACTTGCTGGAAAGGTGGCCCGGGGACGCTGCGGCCAAAGAGGAAGCGGCGACGGCGGCTGCGGCGGCGACGCCACAGGGCCAGGGCGAAAGAGCGGCAGAGGGATCCCTGGACAAGCCGTACCTGCGTGTAGGCAGCGCGCGAGGGGGGCCGCGTGCCATGGTGGCGCGGCGCCGGGCCGGGGCAATCGAGATCACAGTGCTACTTGTGCGTGCCGCGCGCGGACACACACACACACCAGGATACGCACACCGAGCAGCACACGGCACCCGGGGCCTGGTGGCGGAGGAAGGCAGGTGTGCAAGAGAGCGGCAGAACGAGAAAAGGAAAGTCACAGCGCGGCAAGGAGGCGAAGCAGCAAGACTGGCGCGCGCGCGCGCGCGCGAGATAGAGAGAGAGAGAGAGAGAGAGAGAGAGAGGGAGAGAGAGGGAGGGGAGGGAGGGGAGGGAGGGAGGAGAGATTGGCCGCGGCCCATCTGCCCAGCCGGCACCGGACCACCTTATGACGCGGCCGAACGCCTCCGGCAGGGGGGTGGGGCCGTCGTCCGGGCACGCCGGCTGCGGCGACTGTCGCACCCGGGGCGAAGGTGCCGGCCGATGCCCCGGGGGATGCATGCTACCTGCTCCGGCCGGCCAGGCCAGGAGAGCGCACATTCGCCCGGCACGCCGAGCGGCTGGGCTCGGAATATTTCCCTCCTCCGCCGGTCGCCGAAGTGAGCGAGCCGTGTCTCGGGACACCGCCAGCTCCCTTGGGATCGAGGCGGTGGCAGTCTCGGCAGGAGGGGACCCCAGCAAAAGGGGTGCCCTCCAACAAGCGGCGCGGCAGCCGCGTGAGCCAGTGCGAATGCGAGCGCGAATGTGTGAGAGAAAGACAGCGAGAGGGAGCGAGAGAAAGAAGGAGAGGGACAGACACACCGACAAGACACAGACACACCGACAGAGGGAATGCGCCAGGCACTTGGGGATGCCCCCCCTCCCCCCCGAACGCCCCATGGAGGCACCTCGGCCCGGAGGGCCGCTCGAGTCCAGACCCACAACAAATGGAGGAAGACAACAATAATACCACCCCCGGGGCGAGCTCGCCCATTAGTCCACAGAGGGCACAACCCGGCCCCCCCCCCCTGCAGCCCGGGCAGCGCATGGACAGATCCCGGGATAGATCTCCCTCGAAAGAGGCGGGTGCTCGCCCGGCACGCCGAGCCGAAAACAGCCGCGTCCGTGTACACCCGCGCGTGTACATCCCCCCCCCCCCCCCCGCGCCTCGCCGCACCCCCACACGCGAGAGGCGCCTCCAGCATGGTGACGGAGCTCCCACGCCAGCCCACAGCCGAGCAGACATTTCTCCCCTCGGAAATGCCCGGGGCAGGGCCGTGCCGTGCGTCTTACCTTCGGTGGCGGCCCCTCGCCGCCGGACCGTGCATCATCGCGTTCTGCCCCCCCCCCCCCGGTGGGAGGGGCCCCCGACGCGCGCCCGCACACAGAAACAACGAGGGAGATGGCACACGCCCCTCTCGGCCCACTAAAACAATCGGCCCCGCCACCCCCCGCGACAGACGCAGAAAGGGGACACACGCGCACGACACACACGCACACCACACATGCGTGGCCGGCGTGCAGGGCTCGCCCGATGCACACGCAGACACACGCGCCCCCGAGCGCGCCCGGGCGACCGGGGGCCGCCGACATTTTCGGCGCCGTAGCATGACTTTCCCGCTGGAAAGAGGGACATTTGGACTGCCAACCCAGTCCCCGGAGGAATAGCGTTTCCTCGCGCCAGTTTGAGATCGATTAACTTCCCGGGGCACTCCCCATTCTGCCCCTGAAGACTGCCCATGCTGGCCTGCCCGGCCCCTCGCCCCGGCCCCGGCCCCGCCCGGGGAAGGGACACCGACTGCGGCCCTCTCCTGTTCTCAAAGGAAAATCATGTATTGGGCGGGTGGTGAACGGACACAGATGGGGGAGGAAGAGAGGTGCCCGCTCCCGTCCCCTGGCCTCGCCCTCCCCCCCCCCTTCGCGCCCCTCGGCAGAGAAGGGAGGGGAGGGGGACCGGCGGCCGGGGACAGGCAATCACTGCAAGGGAAGGGGGGGAAGGCGTCTCCTGTGGGTCCCCCCTCTCGCCACCACCAGCACCACCACCACTGAGGCCGCGCATGCACACATGCCAGGCACACAGACACGCATGCGCAGGCGGAGAGAGGAGGAAGGGGGACGCCCAAGGCATCGATATCAAGGACAGGGTGTGCGCGCACGCGCACAGGCGCGAAATTAAATAGGAAGAGAGAGAGGGGGGGAGGGGGAGGGAGAAGAGAGGAGGGAGAGCAGACCGCCGGACACATGCGAATGTCACGCAGCCAGCGCCAGGGGGGTGGAGGGTGCAGGGAAAGTCTGCGCGCATGCCCGCCAACAACATCTCCACACGCCCCCCTGCTCCGCTCAGTGTCCAGCGCGCACACACGCACACACGCGCGCGCGCGCGCACGGACAAGGGCAAGGGGAGCAGCCGCGCGGGCGGGCCCCGAAGACAAATGCGGGCACACGCGCGCCGGCGCGCTAGTTCGCCGAGGGGAAGGACGAGGGCGAGCCGGCCCCGGGGCCGGTCGAGCCGCCACCAGCGGCATACGAACTCTGGTACATCTGCGCGTGGCTCAAGTGTGAAGAGGCGCCCGGCATCGGGGCAATGCCGGCCGCGGCCAATTGCTGCTGGTACATCAACGACTGGTGATGGTAGTGCTGCTGCTGCTGCTGCTGCTGCTGCTGCCCGGCCGAGGAGGAGTCCCGGCCATACGGGCTGACGTAGTACCCGCTGCCGCCGGTCGCGCCATGCTGCAGGTGCGCCGCCGCCAGGAGGGCCTCCCGCTCGCCGGGGGCGTCGTCCGACGCCCCGACCACCCCGGCCGCCCCGGCCGCCGCCCCGACAAAGTCGTCGACCGACTGGCCGAACGGCGGCCCGGCCCCGATGATGGCCTCATGCGAGCCTCCATACTCCCCATACTGGTAGTAGTGCCCGACATGGTGATGGGGATGATAGTGACCCCCATGATGCGGGTACTGGGCCTGGGCCTGCTGCTGGTGCAGGAACCCCCCAATGCCAGACCCGGAGCCCTCCATCATGTCGGCACTGGAGCTGTTGATGGAGAACCCGCCACCGATGCCGGCCGCCGACTGCATGGCATTGACATCCATCACCGAGGCCCCGCCGCCGGTGAGCATCATGCTGGCCAGGAGCCCGCCGCTGGTGGCGCCGCTGCCACCCGCCGAGGCGCCAGACCCGTCGCCGGAGTCCCCCCCGGACGAGGGCAATGGCGCGTACTCGCCGCCGCCGCCGCCGGACCCGCCGCCGCCGCCGCCGCCGCCGGTCGACCGCTGGAAGGCCGGCGGCAGGCTGCTGCGCGAGGTGACCTGCGCGCTCGGCCGGCCGGGGATGTGCCGGAAGAAGGCCAAAATCGACACCGACGGCACAATCTCCGACAGGACCAGCGAGATGAACCGCAGCACCGGATGCTCGAAGGCCAGCACATGGTTGCCCCCGTCGCCGGGCCCGCCGGCGATCACCGACCCGCCGCTGCTGTCGCCCCCGGCAAGGACCTGGCCCAGGAGCAGTGCTGCGTCGGCCAGCCAGCCGCCGCCGCCGCCGCCGCCGCCGCCGCCGCCGCCGCCGCCGCCGAGCGAGGCGGCCATCGAGGCCAGCGGCACCGGCTCCAGCCACACCACCACCGCCATGGTGGCCGAGTAGATGGCCCGACAGGCAAACACCGCGGCCAGCAGCCCCGTCACCAGGGCGATCCCCAGCACGGAGGACCCGCTCGCGTGGAAGGGGATCAAGGCCATCGGATTGCGGAAGGCATTGTACAGCCGCAGGCCATACCACGCCACCAGGCACACCAGCGACCCGAACAGCACCGCCGGATAGGCAAACCGGATGACCCGGGCCACCGGCGAGGTGAGCGGCACATTGCGCACCGACACCAGCAGCACGAAGGTCAGGGTGGTCGCCAGCAGCAGCAGGTTGGCCACGGCCCACACGACGAAGTACCGGCGCCGGGTGTGGGATTCCCACCGGGACACGCTTCGGTGGATGACATTCGCATAAAAGAGCACCAGCAGCGTGTAGGTGGCCCAGAGGAAGTTCAATGGCAGCCAGGCCAGCGGGACGAACACCCCCCGTGGCAGGGCCGTGGCCGACCGCAGCACCACCAGCAGCAGGGCCAGCGCCGTGCGCAGGGCGCTCCATGCCAGGCAGAGCATCAGGAACACCGACTGGAAGGAGGCCAGCTTGTGGCGGTTCCACACCAGCCGCGCCAGCTGCACCACCACCACGCACAGGACCGCCGAGTAGAGGACCGTCAGGAGGATGGTCAGCGCCCGGGCCACCGGTGTGTCATCGGCCGGGACATCGCTGCTGGCGCTGCTGGCGTTGCCGTCGGCCGCCGCGGTGGCCGCGACCATGGGGCTGGCCGCCAAGACCAGCAAGAGGGAGAGGAGGGCTGCGCCGGCCGCGCCGAGCGAGGCTGCGCAGGGAGGGGGGAGGGGTGATGGGTGAGGG